CACATTGTTCGAGCATTCCGTGTACCTAAATAAATGGTTGCTCTGGTTGTCAGAAGAAGCATTAGCCTCGTGAAATCCGAAGGAACTTGTCCTTCACAATGAGTCATAACTTATAAATGAAGACCTTCTGACTCCCAGGGCAAAGTTAAAGTGATCTGAATAATTTTCTCTGATTAGCATTTTTTCAGCGATTTAGTTTTCTACGGGATGAGATCGCTAACCCCATGCCCAACCCTCCTCCTTTGTCCAGGCTTGGGACCGGCAGTAGCCCAAGGGGGGCTCCAGGTGGAGTTACAGACCTAATAGTACTGTTGAATAATAACGCGGATCAAACCTCCAATGTAATGTAGAACGGCCTAAAATAATACATTAGCGCCGCTATAATCTTTAGACACATGCTGTAGCCAGTAAAAGTAGAAGCATAGATGACTGAGATACAGCTTAATAATAATAGTATATTCTCAAATAACAATATTTTAAATAAGGCATTTTAGTTTACATAAAGCATCTAATTTTTACAAATACTACGGGTCTTACTTTTGCAAGTTACTCAATTAGGTTGATTTGTTATAATTTATATTTGTCACGGAAGACAGGGGATACATTTTCACACATTAAAATATTGATGTAAGTATGTCTCTTATGATCAATATAAGAGTTAGCGCTTTGTGGAAGTTACGTTGCGATAAGCTACTGGTGGTTGAGAATGAATGTACTTAAAATCTAGGGCTGTTCATAACGATAGGTTATGTAGTAAACGCATAATCAGAAACATCCAAGTTAACGTATTATTTTGTGTTTCTCGATAGCGTTCCCAGGTAAACTTCAGACTTATTAGTGAGGCTCAGGATAAAGTTATATGTTACATATATGATTTCATTAGTATGTTACGAGTGTAGTCGAAAAAGAGAAGAAAAACATAAGGTGAGTAGCAGAACAGAGTTTGCTCATGATTTGTGAGGTTTGGTCATTTGTGATGAAATAATTAGGATATGGCTACTTGGACTTGTACTCATTGATGAGGTCGATTTGTAAGCAAGTACATTTCAAGGGGTTAAAGAAAACAAGGCAAACTGGAATGGATAAGGGATTGGAGGTGATTCAAAAAAACTGAAGGTTTAAGATTGTGTGTATTTTTAAAATTTAGTAAGGAAAACACGGTGTTCGGACACCACCTGGCTTTTTTCGTCAAAATCATGACTCATTTTTATTACCATAACTTTTGTAGGGACATAAAAAGACTTATTTAGCTAGGTTGTCAAGTTTTGCTTGTAATAGGATTTCTCCGTAAAAGTAAGACCAGTCTAAGTTTGCAGACATTAGTCAAGGAGGTATTTAATATCAGAAGTTAGCATCACTATCATCGATTATTTACACCTCTCTAGTCTGTAAAGAGTTGTAACTTAACAGTATGTTCCTCAAAATAGACATAGAGAGATTGAGGTTATCTCCCAAGTACAATGTTTACTGGTAGGTTAAGTCACCCTTCCTGTTTTGTGGTATGTATGAATATTGCTTAAATCTAAGCTCTGTGCTGCACACGTAGTTGGAATACACTGTCTCTAATAGTTCCATATCACGGCCATATCAGATAGCTAGATCTTTCGTATTTTAGATTATGTATCGATTTAGCTATAAAGTTAACTAGTGGTATGAGTCATAAGATGTTGGTCAGATGAAATGTGTCTTACAGATTATAATGACAAATATCTAATCAAAAAAAATGAAAGAAGGGTTTAGGGTTGCAAAATTTATGAGTAAGACTATTATTAAGTAAGGTAATCAAACTCTCAAATGCTGATCAGAACATGAGCTAGAAGGAACTCACAGTAACTAAGGATATTCTAAGCTTCTTACGATCAGTCATAGTTGAGAAGCCCTCATAGGATTAGTGAGTTATTTGTCCACAAAATGGACAGATAATTCCAGAAAATATGTTTGTTATAGCATCCAAATGCAATTTAGGCAATTGTATGTAAACTCTGAAGTATAATTACCCATAATGTGCGATTATGTTTCGAAGACGCAAGATTGTGATACTGTCACATAGCCGAAATAGATAAATACTTGTATATATGTGACCATATGTGTTTTGAATCGTTTTCATACGGCGAAATATGCCATGCATACGTAGATGTTTGTGAAAGGATTCATAATTCTATGGGTAAATAACCCATTGCTTTCCGGGTGAACCCGACGGACTCGATCACATGTCACGCAATGTCGAGTCACCTGGAATAGTAGCCACATTGCAACTTGTTCAGTGTCATTCGATCTGCAGTGGGAAGGACTTGACACACATGACATTGATCACCAACCAGTGATCCATCAATTGTGATTTCACCTCAGCCCTACAGGAGGTCGGTTGTGGCCCGGGTAGTCCACTGGTAACGTCTCTGATTGGGAGGCTGGGTGACACAGGATTGAACCAGTCAGGGAGCACTAGTTCCTTCAAGATTACAGGTACACCTTATTGACGAGTGCAAAGTAGCACGAAGCTCGGGTCCAGGATTTCCTGTTGACAACTTCCAATCACCATCTAACATTGATCTGCCTGTTATTCAAACATACAGTGACTTAGAAATCGTCGTTAGACAAAACGTAAAACTAATGCACACTGTCATACAGTAACCACCAAAGATTTTGGAACCCTATGGTCAATGCGTAGGACCTTTAACCATGTAGATGCTGAAAACCTTCTGAAGATGGCACAGGTATTCAGTGTTTGACAACGCTTTTACCAGTAACACTTTCTATTATAACTCGTACCCACCAAGAGAAATCAAAAGACAGAATCGAGGAGAAAAGGTTCAGATGAACGTGGCTGAGCTGACGTCTGGAATAGCAGATCTCCCGTACGATGATTGACCGGCTAAATTTGATTTATTTCCAGTATCATATTGAAGAACTGGAGGCGACTTTATCACAAATTTTAAAATACTTAGTGATAAATATGCATCTGATATGCCCTCACATCCCTTGGCTTCAAAAACAGAGAATTTACAAGGACACTCTAAAACAGTTCACAGCTTACATACATGCGCTATCTAACAAGGACAGTGGTATTGTTTCTAGTTGAATTAGTTAACTGTTTTGATCGTAAAATACGTATCAAAACTACGATTTACACTTTAATTGAATGTACTACAGTTAAAGTGATATTCTATTGAGTTTTTTGGCTTTTGTGTATTTATTACATTCGAAAGCATTCTTGGTCTGTATCAAAGTACTTTAGTTATGGTTTAAAATTTTGCTAAATTTTGTCTTGTGGTAACTTTTTATTCGCTGACTGATATTTGTGTTCATACTGTGATCATATTGTGTGTTACACCTTGATATGCCTAAAATGGTTGGTAGTACTCACAAATGTGGACAACCAAACTGGTTTTTCCCTGTGGAGGAGGGAATGCAGTGTAACGAATGCAATAAGTAGTTTCACAAAATGTGCACCCGTTTAAGTCCCACCGCATACAAAAGATGTTCGAAGCCTAACTCACACTGGCTCTGCATGTTTTGCTGTGCAAATAAGACGTTACTAACACAGGAGGCTATGAGCCTATTGGCCCTGGCCTGTAGGAGGAACGATGGTGCATGCACTGATAACGCGGGCACTGATAGTGACGAATGTGTCAGCGTAGTACATGCTGTTACGTGACGCCTCAAACAACCGACCCTGGCCGATGTAAAAGTGAAATCTCCGTTGACATTAACAGGGAGAGTAGTACCACCTGGTACTGACATTGTCAATAATGCACCTTTAGTAGAAACCGAAGATCTGGATAAAACAGTCACCGTTCCAAATAGTCCCAGTGTTATGAAGGATGAAAAATGGACTACGGTACGAAGAAACGAAACGAAAAGAAAAAACCTGTAGGCAGTACATAGGTAGTTAGTAACTCAATGGTGGACTCGAATTGTGAGCCACAAATTGCACTACCAAACTTTGATGGTAAGAGTGAAGCCCATCCTGGCGTGACTGAGAAGAAAAATCTAATAACATCGGATATTATTGTGAGCGAACTGCGGGAGTCAAACGACCCTGATACCAAAATTAGACACACGCATGACTTAGAAAAGCTAGGAGAATATATTCGTAGTATTTAACCAGATAACTCCAAAGGAGTTCAGGTCAAAAGATTGGTTAGAATAGGCAAGAGTACCGAGAACAATGTTGAACCCCGACCATGCAGACTCCTTAAGATAATTTTAGGATCGGAGAAGCAACGGGATCTCTTGTTAAGTAGCGCTCGTTGTCACGACAATTCTGACATCCGAGTTAGACCTGACATGTCTCTCGAAGATAGAATAAAAAGGAAGAAAGCACTAGCTGAACTTGAAACCCGTCGGCAAAACGGCGAGGAAAATCTCCGACTAGTGGGTTTTCGGATAGTCAGGTCTTGGAAGCGAATGCTACCAAGGCCTGTGTGGATAGGCTGTTCTACTTAGGAGTTTTATATGCCAACGCTCGTAGTTTACGAAATAAGTTCTATGAACTAGAAGCACTAGTAGACAGGTTAAAGCCACTCATAGTAGCAGTGACAGAAACTTGGTTAGTCCATGACTTAGACACTACTCCAGAATTATTCGAATACTATTATCTCAGGAGCGATAGACATAAATGTAGGAAAGGAGATAACGTACTGTTATATATAGCCAATAGCATAAATATCCGCTCCTCTGCTAGCGAGTCCCATGATAGCGGTACTTGTGAAGTCATTAGCTGTAAGTTGGCTATCGGATGTAGTACATTTATGCTCGGTGTCATCTATCGCATCCCAATCTGCTTAGCTGATGACTTTATTTTAGAGCACATTCATCTTTGGAGTCCAAATACCAGATGCTTGATAACAGGGGACTTTATTGCACCTGATATTAGATGGACTGAGATGACCACGGAAGGATCTATAAACTCCTTTGATAGTAGATTCCTGTCTGCCTCGGCAATTCAGTAAAGTTGGTTGCGTGCTGTTGGCGTGTTCTCTTCGTTCACTGTTGCGAATATGATTGCTCAGCCTGATCATATTAACGCAGTGGTTATTGGACATGTAGATAGTGGGAAATCCACTACTACCGGTCATCTCATTTACAAATGCGGTGGCATTGACAAACGTGCTATCGAAAAGTTTGAGAAAGAGGCTGCTGAGATGGGTAAAGGTTCTTTTATATATGCTTGGGTACTGGATAAACTGAAGGCAGAATGCGAGCGTGGTATAACAATCGATATTGCACTATGGAAGTTCGATACCAATAAGTACAAAGTCACAGTTATTGATGCACCTGGCCATCGTGACTTCATCAAGAACATGATCACAGGAACAAGTCAGGCTGACTGTGCAATGCTGATTGTTGCTGCTGGTGTTGGTGAGTTTGAAGCTGGTATTTCCAAGAATGGTCAAACAAGAGAACATGCATTGTTGGCATACACGTTGGGTGTCAAGCAGTTGATTGTCGCAATTAATAAAATGGACTGCACCGAACCACCTTTCTCTGGAAATCGCTACAAAGAAATCGTCAAAGAAGTGTCCGGCTACATTAAGAAAGTCGGGTACAATCCCGCTGCAGTTCCATTTGTGCCGATCTCTGGCTGGCATGGTGATAATATGGTAGAAAGGAGTACAAACATGCCTTGGTTTAAGGGTTGGGAAGTTACAAGAGTAAAGGATGGAAAGAATGTTACTGACAGTGGCTACACATTAATAGAAGCAATAGACAAGATGAATCCACCCACAAGAATGACTGAAAAACCATTGAGAATACCACTACAAGATGTTTACAAGATTGATGGCATTGGTACCGTTCCTGTTGGTCGCGTGGAAACTGGAATTATAAAACCTGGAGCATGCATTAGTGCAGCATGTATCCAAACTCACACGTTTTGGTGATAACTAAGGTTCTTCTCTGTTGGACTTGGTAATCACTCATGAGACTGAGGGTATTGTCGACCTAAATATTCTTTCACCGTTAGTGAATAGCGATCACGCTGTTTTGTCATTCGCGTTTAGAACTAGGGACATGTTATACGATCAGGTTACACCTCGCCCAAACGTATGGAAAGCTAACATATCGGCCATTCAGGAATGCGCTGCTAAGACAGATTGGTTTGTAGATACTAGCTTATCAGTTGAAGAAGGATGGTCTGTATTTAAAGGAACTTTTAGTTTAATTACGTCCCCGTTCATACCATACCTGGTACCACGAAGACCGAATAACAGTCCACCATGGATAACTAAAACGGTCAGGAAACTCCTCAGAAAAAGGAAGACTCACTGGAATATGTTCATCTCTACTGGCTTAGAACAATACAGATCCAGTTATCGTAAGATTAGGAATGCCTGTAAAGCGTTACTAAGCAAGACTAGACTATCATACGAAAAACAATTGGTTAGGGATTCTAGATATGGTCCGAAACGGTTATTCTCGTATATAAAAAGGCGAATTCAGAGAAGCGATGGAATTCCATCACTTTTGATACGAGACAATCCGTTAATCTTAGCAGAGAATGTTGCCGAAAAATCTGAAGCGTTATCGGAATATTTTAGTAAGGTGTTTTCTATCAGTAATGAGGAACGACCAACCATTCATCGCGACCGTGACGGCTCGCTGATGGATACTGTAGTCATTGAGAAAGGTACTGTTTTAAGGCTACTTCAGCACCTCAAACCTGATAAGTCCAGTGGTCTTGATGATATTCACCCTAGGATTATGAAAGCCATATCGGATGAAATTGCTGAACCATTAGCGATTCTATTAGACATGTCTCTGAGACAGTCCAGACCTCCTAGAGACTGGAAATACGCCGTAATAAGTCCGGTGTATAAGGCTGGAAGTAGGAATTTAATTAGTAACTGTAGACCGGTTAGCTTAACCAGTGCATTTGTAAAACTGATGGAGAAAATCATTCGGATATCCGTTCTAAACTATGTTGAAGGGCAAAATCTTTTCCCCAGGGCACAACATGGTTTTCTGAAAGGCCTATGTTGCTTGACAAATCTTCTCATTTCACGAGATGATTGAGCTGCTGCAAAAGAGCTGAATGTTCCTGTGGATGTGATCGCCATAGATCTAAGTAAGGCCTTCGATAAGGTATCCCACTCTGGTCTTAAATTCAAACTGGAACGTTTTGGAATCCATTATACAGTCGTAGATTGGATAAGTAACCTTCTTCATGACAGGAGACAAAGGGTAAGGGTTGATAGGGCTTTCTCCTCGTGGGAACCTGTAAACAGTGGGGTTCCTCAAGGTACAGTCCTAGGTCCTCTTCTCTTTTTACTTTATGTAAATGAATTGCCAACTGTAGCAAAATCATCCGTTCTACTCTTTGCTGATGATATAAAGATTTGGAGACCCATACATAGTATGTCGGATAGAATAGCATTACATGACGATCTTAGCTCATTGGTGGCATGGTTAGACAGGTGGTCACTAGAAGTAAATCCTAATAAGAGTGTAGTGATGCAGTTAAATAACTCTGATGAATCGTATGACTATACACTACGTGGATTCGTGATACACAAAGTAAGAAACTATAAAGCTTTATTAGTCATATTAAGCAATGATCTCAAAACCATTAGTCACTGCAAGACTGCTGCTGCAAAAGGCTACAGGGTATTATGGTCAATTCGTAGGTCTTTCCAGTATTTAGATGATGAAATGTTTAGATTATTATCTTCGATTTATGTGCGACCACATTTAGAATACGGGATTCAAGCAGCGTGTCCTTGTTCCAAGTATGAAGCAAATATGCTAGAAAGAGTCAAACGACGAGGTACTAAGATGGTACAAGGTTTATCTGGCCTATCTTATGAAGAGAGACTGAGACATCTTAACTAGTTTCCGTTATATTACCGCAGAGTACGGGGTGATCTAATATTGGCTTATAGTATACTGAACGATGACCTTGGTATTAACATGTCTTATCTTTTACTTCCGTGCAGGACTGATCATTTGATAGGACATTTGAAGAAAGTTCAAAAACGGAGATCAAAACGTTTACGTCTGGAGTTCCGTTTCTCACACCGAGTAGTGAATTACTGGAATTCTCTGCCGGAGCGCGTAATATCAGCACCTTCTGTTGATATATTCAAAACGAGATTGTACCTGCACAGTATTACAAACTGCAAAGACTAATATAGGTCAATAGACCTCCTATCCTTATTATTGAAGACTGAGGACTGAAGACGAGCTTAGAACAAATTACTTGTTGAGCTTCAAAGTAAAATATTGGGCATAGAATAAAGAGGAAGATTTGTTCTCTCAAGGTTATTTGTTAATTTTCGACATATAAGTGCAATGTTTACATTTTCATCTCATCTTGGATCTTGGAAGTCACAAATATTACGAGCAGCTTAGTTGTTTAGATTCTTTACAATTACTTTCTATCCTTCAAATTGCGGAGACTCCAAGATTCAATCCCTCCGATTGCAGAGGATACATCAGGCTTTGGAGCTTGTACAAGCAGCACTGCTGAAGGTTCTCGTTCATTTGGGGTCGCCTCTTCCTCGGAAGAGTCAGGACGCTTCTACAATGTGGGGGATGGACAGCGTTTTCTGAAGAGGTGGCCCTCTACGCCTCAACCAGGCACTCGTGTTTGGATACGATATGGTGGCACAGTGTGCTATGGACAAGTAGTGCATTGTATGCCTGAACTTAATATGTTCACTGTACGACCAGCTGATGGTGGCTCTAGACTTGTCACTCGTGGTCTTGAAGATATTCTACCTTCTACGCCTCAACAGTCAATCTTAACTCCACCGACAGAAGACGAATGGGATAGTGACCTGATTGGATGTGATGAAATTCCCCCGGATCCACACAGTATTACAGATTTTCCCACAAAATGCGAGGCCACTATTTCGGACTCCTTTTCTTACCCATTATTCATCGATGTACCATCTAGGTGAGTGTCCCACCTGACTGGGTTTTTTTGTAATCATTTAAGTATCTTCGTGGGAAGTGAGTGAATCTAATAAACCCAGTTTATAGCGATCTCTACCCGGTGCAATTCTAGTGGCAAGTCTTTTAGACTTATTCAACTACTGACTTAATAACATTAAAATCTTGTCTGCCAAATCTTGAGACCTGGCAAAATTGTAAAATGGCCTAACTTATCACAGTTTCACTATCTCTAGAGATCATTACCAGGATATATAGGAAAGCGTCAAAAGCCACATAATAGTAAAAGATTGGGCGTAGATAATTTAGTTCGAAGAGAAGAGACCAATTCCAAGAATATGGGCGAAAGACACAAATCAATGATAACTACTACTTGCCTTATTATTACTGTGTGGCGCATATGTATTTAGTGCCTCCAGGAATGAAAAGTGTGAAGTAATTCAAAAATTCAAGATTTATAAAGTAGTAGACAAACTTATCAACGCATTGCTACTGATTACGGGTTATTTCGGCTTGGACGATAAGGATTGGTCAGAAGTTTCCCGTAAAATTCAAACAGTCCATATTCACCGTTATAAATCAGACCGACAGTCAGTGACTTCATATATTGATTTAGTGCCTCAATACTTACTTGAACAATTAAAAAGTCATTTAGATGGATTAGTGTTCGAATTTTCTGAAACAATGTTTATTAGTGGTAACACTAGCCCACCCAATACTACTTGGCGTATAGCAACTGCTTTCAATTCTCGTAATTCCTATTAGTTTGTTAGTAATCGACTGACCTAATGTACCTTTGGGTTATAACATAGACCATGGTCTCATTCATCATAAATTAATTCTTAAATCAAATCAAATAGTACCGATATTATTGGGTTCGTTCTTAAATCCTTAGTTTCCTAGTACAACTTCATAATCAAGCATGAGTTCCCATACTCGACTAACAGCCATCTATCTTTCATTAGGGATAATCATCATATTTAGCTACTTGAACTAAACGAAGACAGTTGATATTCAGGCACAAAGTGCTATGACTTTCAGATTGTCCTCAAATATGTGGTTCTACTCTACCACATTTTTGCTCCATTGTGAATTTCCTTCATTAAGTTCGTTGTAAGTTACGTTAAATCCGACCAATATGCAAATGTATCATATTTATGTTACTGGCGTATGTTATCTGCTTTTGCGACCTCAAGTAGTGTCCGTCCAGGCTGTCCACTTTCTCCGTTTTTGTTTAACTTAATTATAGACCTACTGACGGAAATAACGTTCTCGTCGACCGAATTCTCGAGCATTGATCTCCTTCCAGGAGGTCCACTTATCGACTTAGAATACGCAGATGACGTAGTCCTGTTTGGTGAAGACGCTGATAAAATACAGTGTTTCGGCAAAACTAAGCAACAATGCCAGAACGTTTGGGATGCCCTTCTCTCCCTCTAAATGCAAGTTGTTGCTTCAGAACTGGTCTGCGTCAACACTTGAACAACGGATAGGAAGTAAAGTAGTTGAACGCGTTGACAACTTCACTTACCTTGGAAGTCTGATCAGCCCGAATGGGTTGGTGTATGGTGAAATCTCTGGATGGAATCAGAAAGCTCGCTTGGCTTTTGCCAACTTACGTCACCTACGTTGAACGCGGGATATCCGTCTATCAATTAAGGGACGAGTATACTGAGCAGCAGTTCGTTCTGTTTTACTTTACGGCTGCGAAACATGACCATTAAGAGTCGAAGATACTCGTAAGCTACTAGTGTTAGATCACAAATGTCTTACAAATATTGCTGGCGTCTACTGGGATAACCGGGTAAGTAATAGTGAGGTTAGACTCATAGTATTAAGGAATGATGGTAAATCATTTGATGAGGTGAATCTTCATCGACTGAGATGGTTGGGCCACGTGTTGCGTATGCCTGAACACCGTTTACCACGACGCACAATGATGACTAGTGTTGGGGGTGGTTGGAAGAAAGTTAGGGGCGATCAAACCAAA